CAACCCGTCGGTCTAATCGAGTTGCCCCGCCCATTTCACGGAGCAGCTGGAGCCATCTGCGGCTCGGGGTGAGAGCACTAAGTGCCCGAGTCATTTTGTGCCGGGCCGGAGGCGGGCTGACTCCACGACCGCGCCACTCGCATTGCAGGCCTCCTCCGAGCTGTCACCGCCCGGCGCCCACACCCACCACGTCATATTATGATCAGTTCGCTCGGCAAACTGGTGTGCCGGAAGGGCTTTCGTATGCTGGGCAGGTAGCGTAAAAAGTAAGACCGTCACACTACTGTAATTGCAATTTATTGTAAGATGGAAATGCACAGGATGGCACAACTTTTGATCTTGTTTTCACATACAAATTTGAATCAGATCCAAATTGAAAATACTCTGTTTTCTTCAAACAAGCACAGAGTACAGTCAATGATATCTCATATAGCTACTGCTAACTGTTAGATAAACATGAAAATAAATTAAGGATAAAATGCCATAGATGAATTCATTGTATGACATATATTAATAGAAATATTGTGTCTTCATTACTCATGTACACTCATGTTAACTATTCTGTTATTTACATCAGTTCTTGGAAATTTAAATTCATTGCCATTCACAATGGATAAATGTCGTTAGCAAAGTATTCAGGCTTACTTGCTTCCATTGGAATGTGTTGGGGCATGTTCTATGGCTTTCAACTATTGGCTTCAAGTATAGCATTTTGAAGAATCTGACATCTGCAGATAGTTAATCATAAATCTAGAAGAGTTTCAGGCTTAAGCGCTTTACACCAGATAGAAAATAAAACTATGTTTGAAACTCAATGTGCAGGTAAGCATCAACATTGCAGTAAAAGCTTGTCAAAACCTCAAAGCACCCAAACATCTACTCTTTTGTAACTTTGAGGTCAGCCTGTGCTACTATCACAACCACAAAAGCACATAATATCATAAAAACCTCACTTATGTACAGATAAAAAAAAAAAAAACATCTTTGGTATTAGTCATAGAAAGTAATGAACTGACAGCATTCAAAACTGAGTTAAAACAATAACTCAATGAGTCATTTGTGATGGACAGCAAAATCATAATATGTAATACAGCATTTCACAACTTCAAAAGAGATTTCAAAGAGATCACTTAAACTAAATGAAATATGGATGAAAATAGGATGTAAAACAAAGCTGCATAATACATGTGCTAAATTGATCAAGAACAAACAAACAGCTATGAAAGTTTTAATAGTCTTGAGATAAAATGCTGACCAAAACCTCTAGATAATTAGTTGTAAATTGCCCTTCAAATAAATGAAATAATACATTCTAAAAGCCTGCTCATCAAAATGTACAGTAATATGATCATGAATGACCTCACAATCACAATATTATAAAATTTTCATGCCACATTATTGTCACACATTCACAACTCAAAAAAATGATTTCTAGCACTTTTATAGTTTAGCATTTTAATTCTGTTGAGAAAAAAGAAAAATGCTTGGCTGAAAGTAAAAATTATGTTGGGTTGAGCTTACATGGCTCAAAACTATTGAGTAGATGCATATTAGACTGATACAGAATTCTAGAGTTCAGCATTTGATAATACAGATTCAGATCACAGATCAAATGAAGAGTATATCCATATTGAATTGGTCTTAGGTGAGTCTAGTTTTACAAGCAAACAAGAAAATATATGTACTTAGAACACCTAGAATGGCTCAAAGACAAGAATAGTACAGGTAATTCACACAGAAGAATAAAAATAAAACCTTTCTTAATTTATCACAAAAAATACCACTCAACATGTTTGAGACAGAGCTCAATGCAATTCAATAACTGCAGTCATTTTAAACTCACAATAAAGAAATGGCTCTGTTGTCTGACGTCTAAAGCTGAAGTAGAAGTAGTAATTTCCTTTTCTCTCGAATATAGGACTTTACAATACAATACATGCAGCATCACAGAATGGAGCCAACACTCAAATGCCTCAAGATATTTTATTCGTACAATTTAAGTCTAATAGGCAAACAGCAATCTTCCACTTCAAATTTCTGAAGACCACAGACCAGAGGGTTGAAAAAAAAAGAAAAGAAGAGAATCATAAAGTATGGCCTGAGGATCAACTAAATCTACAGCTATTAGTATCCTCTTCAATTATTCACAAAATTTACTTACATATGTTGAACATTTAACAGGTATACATCTTGATAAAACTAGATCAAGACTGGGATTACATTAAAAACCAAATACAAAAGACGGTGAGATGCAGCTTTAAAATACATAATGTGCTCTGCATCCCACATTGTTGATAAAAAAAGCAATCAAGATTCAAAACATTTTATACCATAAAACTTTTCTTTGTATAGAAACAAAACATAAAATGAAGAGATTCCTTCATAACAAGTCTATAGAAACTGTACTGATTTACACTGTTTTCCAAGTTTGATGTTGCATAAAGAGCAGACAACACTAAGAGATTAAAATACAATAGTAATTTATAAATACATCACAGAATTAAAACACGCACTTTTAATGGGCTCGAGTGGTAAACCCCGCAAAATGTGAAAAATAATTATTCTCACACATAGACAAAGTTGTGCGCAAAAAGCCTATCTATGAGCAGAGGTGTAATAGATTGTATTGTACTGATTGATGAAACTTCTTTTCAAACATGATAATGTTTCCTTTCAAACAAATTATCCTGTGGTAAAACTACAATATCAAACTAGCAATGCATAGGGATGACTGGAAACAATAGCATCTAGACACTTGTAAAGATAAGAGAGGGTATAATAACTAGCTTGTAGGAAAACTCAAACCATCAAAAAACAATACAGAATTATAAAAAGAAAAAAAAAAGTGACAAAATAAAGCTTATGTTAATTACGTCATGGCACCTGTATAGACTATCAATCACGTTGCAACATTTGAGCTCTATCTTGGCAAATATTAATGACTAATCAGAGAGGATAATTTCAATAATTTAAGAGAGCATGTTGTGGGATTCAGTTCAAAAGCAAAAAAAAATATTAAAAATTTGATTGTGGACTCCGAGCAACTCCTCAATATGATCAGCCTCGGCATAGAACTATCTGGTATGTGGTTCCTTGTTGTCCAGCCACACAATTCTCGTGGAAATAATTTCGTGGATGAGCGTCCGGCAAACATTCAGGAGCAACACTTATAATCAAAATACAGTATTACAAATAATGAAGGGAATCCAAATAGACAACATGTGAATGAAGCATAACACACTACCTAAATATATGAGAATTTTAGTGTCACTGATCCTGATAAGATTTACTGCAAAGCAAATACAGTATCACAAATAAATTACTGTACCCAGGAACAAATTACACTATGAAAAGTTTTTTTTCTCTTTTTGATAAAAACTCTACAGTGATTCTAAGTCTTTCCACAGGCAAAACGCCCTTATTAACCAAGTAAAGATTGATTTGACACAGACAATAAATACATTGAGATCTCAGATAAGAATGACTACCTAATTGGATTGCCTGGTTACCTACAAGAAATGAAGATGCATCTAGGTACTTATATTATCTGGAGATGTTTCTATGGACATCATCACAATCACTATTCACAAAACTTCATAATCTTATTTACAGCCGTAGATACTCACAAAGAGGAAATACAACAAATCACAAATGGCTTTGTGGGATGTCAAATACAGTATTACCAAATTCTCTTATTACAGTACATTTTTCAACAGTAGATTTCTTTAAAAGAAAAACAAACTGTACAATATAATTCATACATGAAATGAACACATCAACAACATTGTCAAAAGGCTGTGGGAGATATCCCCCCCAAAAGGAAGTCTTCACTAAACAGAAGACAACCCAAGAAACTTTAAGGATTATGGACGGTTTACAAAATTTTACCATCGTCCATAATCCCACAAACGCTAGGTGATCAATCTTGGGAAATGTAGACCTTCTACTTGCTTATCGATGGGTGGGCAGTGACTTGTCCCAGAAGGACCCCAATCATGGAGACCCTCTGAATTTGCCAGCCTATGGGTGAGTCGATGTGCAATAGAAAATCCACCACTCCCTTCCAGTTGGGTCAAAACTATAATTACTTGTCTGAAATAAATCAAAGGTATAAGATTGGGTGATACACAATAGGAAGTGGAAAAAACACAATATGTCATATTTGGCATACCTGTGTAGAGGAGGAACAGAATCCACAGTTTTTAATTCACCTCTTGTGGAAACCACATTATAACTCTCTTGACAGTCACACTTCATGATGATGATGATGATGACTGCCTCTTGTGGAAACCACATTATAACTCTCTTGACAGTCACACTTCACATGAATCCATTTATTTTCGTGACGATTTTCTACCATCACCACAAGACCAGCCCAACCTTTAGTTAAATAATATGCTGTCATGCCCTCTCGTCCCTGCAAAATATACCATAGAATAAACACATTATGTACTGTATGAAACTAGGTAAATCCTGCAACAATATCAAAAACAAAAATGCAAATAAAACAGTCACCTCATGTCGCTGGCCCTTGGCAAGAGTTAAGCTGATTATAGCATCAGCCAACACAAAAGAGGGAGGTGTGATTTGCTCCACTAGAAGTTTTTTTGAACTATGAATGGCGAGCACATAGTCAGGATAGGAGGCAGGATCATCCATTCCTTCGTCAATTTAAAGGAGGAAAATTGAGATGAAAAATTTAAATTGGGTTCAATCAAATTTCTGGTATAAGCCCACAACTTACCTGTATGCCAGTGATTGAATGCAAGACAGACAACGATATAGTGATCCTCTTCAAGCATTTTATGGCAACCTACAAACCCTCGGACTTGTCTTTTGCTATGTTCAACCAACCGCCCAACTTGTGGTTGAGCTGCGGATCGTGTTCTGAACACAACTACACACAGATCAAGTTGAGATCTTTGCCACTTCTCAGAATTTCTGAAATAAATTTAACAATTTCATGAATCAGGAACCATGAAGGGCCAATGAAAGGCCAATAAGACAATAAATATGATGAGTTTTGTACCTTTGGCCCTCCTGAAATAAAGTGAATTCAGCCTCTGTTGGTTCCATAACAGTTAAGAGAACACATGAAAGATGATCAATTGAGGAAAGAGGAGGAAGAGTGCCACGCAGACGAACTTCATTCCACCCAGACCGTACTTTACATATATCAATGCAATCAAAATACCTGCAACAAGTACAGTTCAAGAATGACATTCTTGACTAAAACAGAAATAAGAGTCATTGTGCAAAAACACAAAAGTATGAAAATTAAGTTGCCTTACTTAAGAACATCTTCAAAAGATATCCAGAAGACACCATCTGAAGCTCCATGTGGCATCAACATATCTCTCATTTCGGCAGTCCAAAGATCAGAGTCATCAGCCCAATCCCCTTTCCATGAAAAATGTCCCCATGGGTTGCGAAGCCTCAACAATCGTATGCCATTTATATCTCGTACATCCAGAACAGAATATGCATGCCTTAATAGGAAAAATAAGTCAAATTAAAATTATCTTTTAAACTACTGACTTTAATTAAAAGTAGAAGATGAAAGTCGATTTGAGTCTACCTAGGACGTAACCCTTTACGTTGATATTCCTCTTCATCTACTTTCATATTACCCCCGCCACAAGAAGCCCCCATCAAAAATCTTGCAAGACGGGAACTGAGAAGTTGAGCCCATATGAGATCTCGGTCTAGTTCATCTTCAGAAGGAAGGGATGATGGTTGAAGGGGAACGCTCTCACATGGAGCACCTGGAGAAATTTATTATGAAAGATTCAAATAGGTATACAGTATAAAGAATGTGTGATTAAATTCACATATTTTTATTTAGCAAATAATTACTAACCAGTAAGAGTAGCTAGACCCTCAATTGCACGTCCTGATACAAGTGCTTCATAGCATCCATGGATTTTGGCAACAGCTTTTTCAATTAATGGGACCCATAGCTGTTTTCTTTTAGCCTGAAATAAAAATTAATGATTAACTAATTTTGATACTAATCAATTTGAGTTAAAAATGAGTCATGAATCTTTACCTGAGAGTAAACAAGATGACCTCTTTTGTCACATGGAAATAGGTCATCAACAAGTACAGTTGTCCATTTGCCATCCTTACATAATCGTACTTGATATGCACCTTGTTTACAGAATTCTCTAGTCATCATTACTCTCTTGACTAAATCTTCTCTCTCTGCTAACACTGCAAGAGCTGACAGTAACCAGCAGTTTCCAAGTACACCTACAAATGCAAAATTTAACTTTTGAAGATCAACAAGTCAGCACCATGTTTTGAAACGTAAGAGGTGGAATATACCTTGAGATATATCCGAAGGTAAGGGAGTACGGAATATAGTCCATTTCAATTTGGAATCCTCTTCCATCACAATTTCATGAGGTCGTAACCACTGAACAACATGATTGTCTTTCGTTTCTGCTGGATTATAATACAAAGATTTTGGTGCAGGTGGGAAAGAATCATCAACAAACTGCTCCTTGTTCTGAAAAACATTACACAACCAATTTTGTGGAGAAAAATTGCAAATGAAGTTATAAATAGAGAAAACTTAGTTCAGAAGAACTCACCTCTGTACAATAGCAAACTATATGTTGCCATTTATCCAGAGCTTCTTTTTCTTCAATACGCCTTAGATCATCCATCAGCTCACTCTGATGACGTACAATTGTATTGGTCCCACTGGTCCCGCCTAAGAGTGTCGATCCTAAATTCATGACATCCCTTGGCATCACAACAGCCGGTGAAGTAACAGTTCCGACAAAAGTTGATGATGATCCCGACGTGATTGTGGTGATGGTAGATGAAGATAAACAACGGGAACTATGGCACATGTCACATGCAACAGATGTGACAGAATTTTCATAAGTACAAACTGAACACTGCCACGTTGAAGTTAATGGTGTTGTTGGTGATACAGGCCCATTTGAACTTGAATCTGAACTTGGTGATTGAGCTTTGTTAGATTTTGGACTCTGTCCACCACTGTTAGGTGATGACAATCCAGAATTTGACAAATCTCTGAAAAAATTATAATAGTAAAACAGGAAAATTAATAATGTAGATAAAAAGCAAAAGAAATTGCACTTGAGTGAGTAATTGGTCTACATCCGAGTTTAGGTCATTTTAAATACCTTGTGTTGATGTTTTGCGAAGAGCGATTTGAACTTGACCCACTTCTTGTTGAGGAGGTTCTTCGAATGTTGCTAGTACTTGGACTATTAGCGGAAGCACTGCTGTTCCTGAGTTTTGGTATAGCTCCACTGGAAGATGATGTCTTAGCTCCTACAGCTGTTACATGACATCAGATAAGAATTACAAATATTCTATGAGTACATAAGACAAGGTCCAAATGACTGACATACCATTGCTCTTTGAAGATGAACGCTGCCTAGGAGAAGGACTTCTCTGTGCTATCATTTGAGGACTACTAGATGTACCTGATGAAATATCAGAAGTCTTCTTGCCACTAGCAGCCTTGCAAGCACGGCAAACTGAGGCTCGCAAAGGATTCTTTAAAGTGCATCGTGGACAATCCCAAAACTCACCCCGAGGCAAAGTTTGATCATATTTTGCAGTAATACTTCCAAGCTTTGATCCACCACAAACATCACAAGCTAATTTGGATGCTGCATTAACTAGAGTGCATTTTTTACATGTCCAGTCAGCATCTACATAAGGGATATCATCATCTGCTAAATACTGCACACAAAAGAAATATTCCACATAAGTTATTCAGTAAAGAATGTGTATGATTTGATTTGATTTGATTTTTTTTTTTCACACAAAATAATTATTTACCTCAATATCATCTTCAAGATCAGTTTCCTCAGTAGCTAATGTAGCTGTGGTTCCAGGAGAAGGTATTTTAGCCTCTCCTGAAGCATTTTCTTCATCTTGCTTTGTTGGTGTGTACCGCACACTGTCTTTTGTAACGGTTATAAGGCTTGGCTCATTAACAGATGGTGGAGACCGAATAGAATTGCAGATATCACATCTGTCAGACCATAATGGATTGTATGCATAAGAACATTTAATGCAAGTCCACATTCTTTTCAAGGAGAGTCCAGAAATTTCTAGAGCTGAGGATGGTGTTGATGATGATGATGATGATGACTGAACCACAGCTACACTATCTGATTGGGGAGAACTCGCATCCGAGGCTTGTGGAGAGATAATTCTTTTCCTTTCCCTTGATGTTTCAACAGGAGATAAAGGAGTTGGTTCAGTAAGACCAATGTATGAGAATCTAGTGCGGGAAGGAACTTGTAAATTCACATTATTGATGGAAGATCTCATTGATATGTTTCCCTGGGCATCAGTTTCAATCATGCTTCGCCTATTCGATGAAGGCTTACACTGCACAGAATTTGACATTTCTGTAAGGGAACGCCGATTAATGGGCTTGTTCCACGCTGGTGAAGATTTAGCATTACTTTTGCTTGAGAGATTATGACCATGGCTTGGAGTAGGTGGAGACTCTTTTACTTCTGCTCCAACCCAATTAGGAACAGTTATCACCATGCTATTTCTTGGGACTGTTGAGCCAACAACAGATACACGTGTTTTCCGTGGAGTTTCACAAACTTCACAATTATCACTGGTACTTTCATTGTCAAACGTACACCTGACACACGCCCAACTGGGTTCTTCTGTATTTTTATTAACTTCATCACTAGTCTGGTTGTTGTCATTGACTGAACTATTTTCTAGTGGTCTATGATCATCTTTGGTTTCACTATCCTCAAGAGAATTATCCACCATACTAGTGGGTCTTCTAAACAAGCCTGTTCCAGTCATTGACTTAGGTGTAACAGAATTGGAAGAAGAATCCATCCATAGCTTTTGAACTACAGAGCCATTTGAAAGGGAGCGGCTAACTTTTGACTTTACTCTCTCGTAGACAGACTGACTGTGCCTTTTAGGTGATCGGCTAGGTGGGCCATCAACTTGATCTGCATCTTCTAATTTGTCATTATCACTTGACTGAAGACCTTCTGAAGATGAGGGACAGCCATTTTCTTCTGAGACAGTACGTTTCACACCATCCCATTTGTTTTCTTTATCATTTTCATCACCATAGAATGGAGGAGCTACATGCCATGTAGTATTGCCTTCTCGAGAGGTGACTGAGGAGGCCATTTTAATTTTTTTTTGTGCAACTACTTCTGAATGCTTCTTAGGAGGAGATTCCAAAACCCCACAAACAGCACAATTCTTCGTAACACTGGAATTAAAAAACTGGCAATGTGCACAGATCCATCGAGAAATTACTCCAGGTACACTATTTGAGCGATCACGCAATCGCACAGATTCTGACTGAGCCCTTGAATGAAAATCAAAAGAAGAGCTGAGATCTTGGAAACTGCAATGGATACCCAGAAGTATTCTGTTGCAATTTCTTTTTGAGGGGTGGATACACGCCAAAACTCTGAAACAACAGATGCAGTATTAATAACACATTTGTTATATTAAGTTAGGCTACATTGTGAACACAAATCGTACAATGCTGAGGAAAATTTAATTAATTTAAGAAAAGCAGTACAAAGGTTAAACAGATTTAGAAAAAGAAACATTTTAAGTCTATAATTGTACCAATTGTGAACTTGAGTCAATAATTAATAATTAATTTGAAGGCTTAAGGGTTTGAAAAGTTAATGGAAGCAAAACAAATTTATACATACTTTTGCAAAAAAATAAATTATCAAAAATCCCTTTACAACACAATAGCAGAAAATCACAACTCCTCACTTATGTGGCTCAATAAATAGAGGCATAGAACAAAGGATACTCACCCGTTAGGGAGCTTTGGAGACGAAGTTTTAGAGTGAAATTTAACAGAGGCTAGGCAAGTCGGTTCGCACAAAATTCCTAGATTTTCTTCCGTGGGGGGAACTGGTTGCGGGTCATTTTGTTGTGTTTTGAAGTGAAGGCAGGAGACCCCTTGCGCAGACGTCCTGTGCCTAGGGGGTGCAACGGGTCTATTTTCACCACATCGGCCGCAGCTCAAGCGTTCTGTTGGGTTAATCAATGAGCAACGACCGCAGTGCCACTGAAGGACAGAGGCGATCGTACCCATTCTACCAACGTCCTGGCCATATTAACGGCAAAATTCAATAAAAAATGCAATGTATCACGACCAGCTGATCCACCATATTGATGGAGTGTAGAATGTAGTAAACACGCATTTCATTGGTCGGTGCGGAGTGTCTCTTCCAATCAGAATCCATTTCCTTCCGTCGTCTGCAAGAGGCAGCAGAATCGGGTAAGAAACCTGACAAACATATACAAATAGTGGAAGTACAAAAAATTACACCGCAAATCTCCTACAATTTACTTTAAAATATATGGTCCAACAAAAAATCCTTCAAAAGTTGAATGGATTGCAATGAGATAAGGCTTAAAATAACAAGCTAAGAGTTTCTATTTCACACAGTTGGTAACATTTGTTGGTTTGTCGTTCATTTCTTAGTACCTCGAGATCCGCCATACCGCTGAAGAAGCGGGTCTTTGAATCAGTAGGCGGAACGACTGAACGAGTTCCAAGCTAATGGCCCGGAATGGCTTCATTTCCATAAAATGCGTGAGTAGGAAGCCGCATGCCCCATCTCGTTAAGGCATTTCTACTTGAAACAATTTGTGTTCTTGTGGGCCCCTGTGCTCTTGTGTTTGGTGTTTCGTAAAGGGGATCCTCGGGGGCTGGCGAACGCGGTGGCTAGGGGTGGCTACTAGCACTACTAGCCGTACTTGCCACTAGGGAAGGCCTGGAATGTGGCCTCTGCATGCTGTTGTGTTTGTACTGTTTTTCGGTTTCGGTTGACACTTGAACGATAGTGACTTTTTAGAGACTTCTTAGTTAAGGTGCCCCCACAATGAGCGCGAGGCGATGCCGGGTAGGCGATGCCGTGCAGCCAAGCCGTGCTTGCAGGCCGTGCCGGTTGCGCGGGGCTACGCCTACGATCTTCTAAGTAAAGCTGTATTCGCATAAAAGTCGGTAAACCTGCCGGCACGGCCTGCAAGCACGGCCTGGCCACACGGCATCGCCTACCCGGCATCGCCTCGCGCTCATTGTGGGGGCACCTTTAGGCTGACAGTAGACTGTAGCCAAAAACATTTCGCAAGCTCACAAGATTCCTTGTGTGGCGTCTGTGTTAGAAGAGTACAGAGTATTGTGACAGGGGAAAAATCAATGCAAGATATTAGTAAATCAACACACTTCCTCATTTCATTAAGCCCTCAGATTACACAATCAGCTGTTGTACATAGTTATTCAACATTTCATAATTAATGCTATTTTCATATGTACAAAATTAACGAGGTAAACTTGTTGGAATTAACAATGATTCTGATGTATTGATTGATTTAATAGCAGCTGTTCATGCAGGTGAAAAATACCCAGAAATACCCCTAGTAATTACGATTTTACAACAAATTGTAAGATACAAATCAGGCAGTTACAAAATGCCAACTTTTATGATGGCATAGAATATTTGGCTATCCTCAATTATCAATAACACACTTAAAATTGCATGCAAGACAAAGCCCACATATTAATATCAGGATCACAATAGAAGCAGCAACATGTTTCAACATAGTTCTGCTCACAGAGCTGGAAAGGAAATGAGAGATGTATCAGGATGTATGTTGCATGATTTAGTACCTCAGCAGAAATTTTGGGTTCATGAAGAGAAAGCCTGAGAAGTGCAAGAGAACTAGTACACAACACAAGTAATCATTCAAAAAGAAGACTTAAGAAAAAGAAGAAAACACAACTGACTCTCTGAGATTGCTTAAGTTAAAACTCGCTAATTTCTTGGCTGATGACAAGTTTTTAAGGTAAATCATGAACTTTCTAATTCAGACTTGGACCCATTTAAATACTATTCAACAGTTAAATGTGAAAAAGACAATGACTTCTTTGATGAAATAAAATCAAAATTACTTTATAGAAAATTGAGTTGTGTTATACCACAAGCAAGTAGCAAAGCCATCTCTGAAATTCCCTGATATTTGAACTTTGTTATCCAAAGGTTTACACATACCACACTTACACTGAGGATATGAAGATTCATGCCTCTTTAAAATTAAAGGAACTAATCCTAATAAAATTGCAGGGGGCACACTTCCTAGATACTTGTTTCAATAAAAAGAGTCTTCATAAAAAATCAAGTAATCAACACCAATAATTAAAGACAACTGAAAATGAGGAGTCTGATAGCCTCTACAACAAAGGTCTAATTGTGCAAGACTGACTTTGTTTTGCTCTTTATGTTGGAAGTTAGTTTACAATTGTGACTAGGATCAACATTAACATTTCTCAATTTATCTATGACAAGAGCACACCTGACCTGACAGCAAAATCTTTAGCATTTATCTGAGTTGCTCTGTATTTATTAAAATTGTGAGGAAGAAGAAGCATAGATCACTGTCCAAGAGTCCAATACTTCCATGTGAAAACACTAATTCAAACAGAAATTAAAACTTGGTAGACTTTTCTAACAAAGAGTGTGTAATGCTAAGTGCTTAGTATTTACAATACAATAAATGGGACAATGAATGAAATTTAACAGTCTTTTGGGAAAGTAACTACAATGCACACACTCTTTCACAATAAATCATTTGAACATTTTAACTTTGACTTTCCAGATTACTATATTTTAAAAAAGGAACACGCATAAAATAATTGTCATATTTAAGCTGAATTTTTACATCAGCGCATCGGCAGATTCAACATGAATTTTAATACACATGCAAGGTAAATGAACTTCATGATGCAGGAGTAATAGGATACAAATAAACAGATAAATAAAAAACAAACAAACAAGTAAATAAATAAATAAATAAACATGTAGTTATACACAAATACATACCAATAAACAATTTGAAATAGATACATAACTTTAAAAAAAATTACATGACTATGAACACACTTTGTCATATTTTTTGGTGCCCATTTCAGCCTCTAACTCTCTTACACATTCACTAAAGCTTCTGACACTCTTTGGATATATATGATGGATATTAAAGCAAAAGTAAAGTAGAAAACATTGCAGTGTTCTGCTTTTTCCCTATCCATAAATTCATGTTTATGATATTTATGAATTATTTCATCCATGTATAATGTACTTTTTGAGGAGTTCTTTTGACACACACTATATAGAGGATAGGCCAAACAAGCTCAATAAAACAATAGATTTGAGTTATAAAGTCACATGTGTGACTGAGTATTGCTTTCAGAGAACACTCCAGTCTGGGATATTGAAATGAGACAGATCTTACACACCAAAGGAATAATTTCTCAACAAAAAAAGAATGTTTTTCACAAAACTACAACATAAAAAGAAAGTGGAAGCAGGCCTGGGGTATTTTACCAACCACTAGAAACTTATGAATCACTTAGATTTATGACAGCTTCATCACAGAACGCGCACATACAAAATATACAGAACATTTTCATAGCCTGTAGCTTTACCTATCATTATCACAAGCAAGCTTTCCAATAAGAAATCCAAGTGTTTTAGATTGTTAATCGTACTCTCCAACACTATGCATTTCATAATTACAAGAACACACAATCTGATATCTGAGACAATTACTTTGGTCTAGAAATGCGTAGCTTCTCACCTAGTATTAGATGTAAATTGGAGTTTCTTGTCCAGTGAGGAGTCTGAACATAGAGGTTGGCATAGTTTTCATCAAAATCTGAAGAAAAAAAAGATATGTAATTTTTAAAAATTGCAAGATTTGGTAGGACAGTTCAACAAGATTAGATTAGTATTTACCTCGCCAACAGATGTAGCTAAAAGGTTTACAATCTTTTCATGAGGTACAGCAACCACACTTTGATTGTTTATTTCTATGATACGATGACCAACTCTAACGCCACCACGCTCGGCAATACCTCCCCTTAAAAGACTGCAAATCTGAGATGGAAAACAGAAACAAAGTGAGAACTTTGTCTACAAGATTAATGTACCATAGAATAAGATAGATATATAGAGTAACCTACCACTCCATTCTGCACACTGAATCCTAGTTGGTACTTCGTTTCTGGTCTTTTTATTTTAACTTCTACAACTGGTGCACATGGTACAACTGTCAGTTTCACCACAGTCTGGGTCTTTGTATTCTATAGATCAATAAAAGCATTACTAAAAGATTGAACTAGTGTCAGCACAAGCCCAACTTAATACAAGCAGCACAAAGTAAAACTGACCTTAATGTAGTTTTGGCAAGTTGAAAGTGGCAATCCCACCAAACTAACTCCATTGATTGCTATAATCTGGTCACCGATATTAAGTTGACCACATCTTGCAGCAGCCCCTGCAGGTGCCAAATTAGCTATAACGACTGTTGGTAGCATGGAACCCCAACCTGACTCAACAATGACAACTCCAAGGATTTCTCCTTTAGCTTTAGGCACAACAACCTGAAATTTAGCAAATCCAGTCAGTATTACAAATTTTATTTACTGCTAAAACAGCATCTTAATCCCTTCTTACCTCTTTCTGCATTTCTTTTTTAGCAAACATTTGCAGCTCATCACCAAATATTTCCTGAGAGTTAAGAACTTCTTGATAATCCATTTCTTTAACAAAGCTGTTGTCTTCGATCCCATTTGCCTTTAAAAACTCCATGTAAGCCACTTGGAAAGCTTGTCCAATAGATTGAGCAATGAATTGGGCCTGAATATGACGGACAATGCAACAATTTAAATAAACAGTTGACAATCATATGTTTTAATAGTGTGATTGATCATACCTCTTCACTTTGGAAAACATGGCAAATCATCTTGGGAGTTCGAGAAAGTTTTGAATCTGAATCATCATCCTGGGGCATAAAACGACGCCGTGCCATAAGCACAACTAAATCTCCAATATCGGCAATGTATGATATTGTGCGCAGTGCATGATCCATCATAATTTCCTAAGATATGAAAACAGAAGTATTAACACAAGTTTTGAATAGTTGGGAGTTGTTCATAAGATGCTCATCAAAACCATACCTTGAGATCTGTGTTTAAGACCATGATTTTCTCAGTTGAAATAAAGAGATCCACTTCAGTGCTAGGTTGTGTTTCACCATCAGGAGCCTGCATGAAGTAAAAGTATTCAGAAAAGGGCTGATATAAAACCCACATCACTTGATCCAAAGAAGCTCCTTCATAAGTTTACAAACTAAGACAATTGAACATTTTCAAGAAAGAAAGGGAAGAGGAAAGTGTTGAAATAATCTACGTACAGCTACCATTAAATACTTTTAAGGGTGTTAATTGGCTCTGATGTAATTTAAAAAATGTAGGCTTGTGTAAGAAGATACATATGAGTTTAAGGGAAAGTAATAAATGACCACAATAACAACAAAGACAGAACTATCACCAAAATCAAATCAAAAATGCTAATA